AATATATATATAATATATATATATATATATATATATATATATATATAATTTAAAAATCTTGTGACATTGTCATGGCTATATGTACACACCTTTAGTTTCTTGAGCTCTTCCTCCGTGTTTTTGGCTCTGCACTTCTTCCAGCACTCCGTCCATCCGCGTGTCCAGCCATTCCTTCGCGTGTGACGCAATGACAAACACCATGACGTCTCCGATATTCTCCAGGGCCATTTCATCGAGCTCACGTTTTAACTTATTGAGCAGCTGTGGTTGTATCTTCGCACTGGATGTGGTAATCTCAGGCGCCACATCGGGATATGTTGGAGGCAGTTCAAACGCGAGGGTGAGTTCCTCTGACTTTTCTGTGCCTTCGTCTGGCTTGAGAGTGATCTCAAACGTCACAGTGGGTTCGCGAGTGAGCTCTTTGTACTCCTCTGGGAAGATGGACTCGAGCACTTCCAGCTCTTCCAGCTGTGTTTCTTGGTAGTCAGTCATTGTATTATAACTCGTTTGCTTATAATGTTTGTATATGTGAAAGCCTGTTTTAGGGCGTATGTACAGTTCTATATATACACCGATAATATTGTACTTGTGATGTATCTATATCCGTATACATAGATATAATGGTGAATATTACAATTGGATGGGTACCGTGATTGCGATCGTATGCGTGCTTATCGTTGGTAGTCAGTAATTGTGTGTGTGAGCCAATGCAGACAGGGTTCTCGCTTCTCGCATGCGGTGCGATTGCCTGGGGATTGCGATATTACAAACGTACCACTGCATTCATAGAGCAATATTTAAATACAATTATATTGTTGTCGATGTATTTACCTTTTTGATTGTCCCACACGCGATTGTTCCGCCAAATTTGAAATTAGTGACCAAAGAGGTAGTATAAAAATATTGGGGGAAACAAGAACAGGGGAAACCTTGTAAACCCTAAACCCTAAACCCTAATCGAAACCAAGAGACCTATGTAAGAAAAGGGGAAACCTTGTAAACCCTAAACCCTAATCGAAACCAAAAGACCCGGCCGAAGCAACAGAGACCCCGTCCACACCCCCACCTTGGAGACCTTGTGGGTTTCCGGTTTCTCGATAATTCTCGTTCGACATTCGCCTATGTGACTGGTCACTACTCTCTGGTCACACTCATATCCTAAACCAAAGACCTAAACCCAAGAGACCTATTGTTTTTGTTTTGTTTTTAAAAATAAATAAAGACACCTAAACCGTAAACCCTAAATAAATTGATCTGGAGTTCTGGAATCCAGTCTCCAGACTCTGAACTCTCAGACAGAGAGAGTGGTCCATAATTATTCGACACAAGTCATCAGACAACAAGTGACCTGTCTCATCAGTCATGACTCATCAGGTGTCTGACCAGCTGACTTCAATACGTTTTGCGTTTTATAAAAGTTAAAAATACTTTGAAAGTGTATTTGATCGATTGATCGGTCAATCAAGGACCTTCATGAAGAAGTCCCACGTTTCGCGCTCTATAGATGCGTAATAGATAAATTTTTAAACAAGAGAGGTAAACAAAGTATGCTAGTATGTGTTTTAGCTATTGTTATGTATATTTATATTATAAATAGTTCGAATATTATGCAGATGTTCTACTTTCGAAATAGCTTCTAATCATCCCGGTACATTCTTGAACAGATACATATCCCTACGAGCGTGCACTAAGTCTACCCCAACTAAATAGCAGCCATGTCAACCTCTCATGTGGTTCCAATGTCGGATGGCATCCGATACATGGAACTCACCGTGGTGTTTCTGTGGTTAGTATTTCTGTGGGAAATGTACTTGCACATACGCCAACACCGCATGTTCAAGGAGAAGAACGTTCCGAAGAACCTGGAGGGGGTTATTGGTCCAGATGAGTTTGAGAAGGCCAGGTACGTGAGTCCTGTTCTGCGTGTATCCAGGTGCAGCACATAGAACTCGCAGTCTCCTATCCTATAGACTATGGTGTAGAGAACTTCAATTCGATCAAACAGCTACGAGTCACAGGTTTTTTAGTCAATAATGGATGGAATAGGGGGAAAACCGGACAACCCAAACATTATACTGCGCTGCATGGGCTCATTGGTAACTGTCTGCTCTATATTGAATCCTAATGATATGACTACATCGGAATGTACGATTACTGGGTCAGTATGCTGATTGCTTATTTGCTGTGTTGTTCGGTTCAAGCACATACCTGACCATTCATTGTACACACGGAAAGGTTTACTTTCGTATCCAATGACGAATCAAACCACACATGAATCTATACTCACACAAACATATGCACATATACACATGCGACACCTCTACATATACGACTTATAACATACACATATGTGACACGTCTATATATATATATATTGACTTGTTGTATCGTATGTACATAAGTATCACGTCTACATATACATATACATATTGGCTTGCTATACTCACACAAAGACAAACATATACACATATACATATTTAACATGTCAATATTATATGTACATATAATACTGATTGTACATATAATATCAGACGCATATCTTCATATGGTGCTAGTATACAACCAGGAGTGCAGAAGCGCTAGAAGTTTCCGCGTGTGTGTGACAGTTGCAAAAGTTGTTTGTACATATTAGTGTCCATAAAATTTTCTCACTCATAAAATTTGCATGCACGCACAAGTAGGTACACATATCTACTACGCGCATATATATGTACAGACAAAGGTGAGCCTCGGCGTATGCGTATACATACAACATGTTGCCAGACAAACATACAGTTCAGCGCATTCATTCTTTGGGCGTATAATGGTTAGTGTATTATTCAATTTGTCACTTTTGTGAAGTATACGGTAATTTTCATTGATATATATATATACATATAATAATATATATATATATATATATTCACAATTCTAATATGTCTTATAGTGAACACATAACCGAATAGGTGCCAACTTCTATGCATTGAAATGCTGATACGAACTCATATGCAGTTGTACAATATAATTGTACAAACCCATCTGAGTATACGGGGCACAGTTGCAACGGAGTGCATGTGTTTTTGGTATAGTTGTTCACGTCACACATTCAAGGCAATCTCTACGTCACCATTATAGTATTATACAGCGGATTATATCACATCATACATATACATTTAGTCCCGTTTCTATTTGACACCGTTATAGTGTGATACAGAGACTTATATCACATCACACATATATACATTTAGTCCTGTTTCTATTTGATATTATTATAGTATGATACAGTGGATTATATCACATCACACAAATATACATTTAGTCCCGTTTCTATTTGACACCGTTATAGGATGATACAGAGGATTATATCACATCACACATATATACATTTAGTCCCGTTTCTATTTGATATTATTATAGTATGAAACAGTGGATTATATCACATCACACATATATACATTTAGTCCCGTTTCTATTTGACACCGTTATAGTATGATACAGTGGATTATATCACATCACACATATATATATATTGTGCATACGTCTGCTGTTGTCATTCTCCTCACCATAGTGTAGTGGCAGGATGGTAGCAGTACCTATGTGCAAGCATGTGTGCTAGAGGTTAGTAGTGCTCGTGTGGATGCGATTATTTATTTGTATGGCGGTATCAACTTCAACCGAGTCAATCGTAGGTATCTCTTTACAAATCACTCACAGTTTTACGGTTTTACGGTTTTAGGGTTCAGCGACTGGACACCACTATTTTGATATGAATTCACTAAAAAAAGTGTTTTGCATTCACTTAAGGCACTTGGCAGACATTCTTTTATTATTGATGTGTGATGTGTGATGTGCACACATGCTTTCTACAATGTTTGTTATATGTTGGACAACCTCACTTTGAGACTCATCTGACAACTGGGCTGCACGAAGCTAACCCTATACCCTATACCCTATGCCCGAAACCCTAGATCTCCTTCTTCTACCAATGCACAGGATATATGGAGAGGACAAAAGTCGCTTCAGTTTCTTTCGGCAGTGGTTCGATATAATCGAAACAACACTCATCTTTGCGCTGGGCGGACTACCCTTTATTTGGGACTGGTCAGGCGATGCTCTTGAGTCAATGGGGCTTATGGCCACAGAGAATGAGGTGAGTGCTTGGGTACAAATACAACGGTGTATATTAGCTGAGAGAGTGTGTTTTAGCAAGACTTGTACGACAGCTGAATGAAAGCATATGTGCAACGTATGGATACACACACAAACACACACATATATATATATATTTATATATATGTATAAATATATAAAAGTATATATTTAAATATGTATGTATATATATATGTATATATATATATATATATATTTGATGCATCTATATATATGTATGTATGTATTTATTTATAGGTATTCATGTATACTTGTATTTATATATATTTATATATATATGTATATATCTGTATGCATATATATTTTATATATATATATTTATATATATATATATATATATATATATATATATATACACTACACACACACACACACACACACATATATATATATATATATATATACTATATATAGTAGTTAGGTTAGGGTAGTTAACTTTTACGTTACGTAACGTAACGGTTAA